CCAATAATAATATTAATAGTTATAAAGTTAAGCTAATTATAAGGAATTAGGTTATTGAACAAGTCTTGGAGTATTTTGTGGTGAACGTGAGAAGTTGCAGAATTGCAGAAAAGAGGAAAAGAGGAAAAGAGGAAAAAGTTGGAAACTTTGGCAAGGCTAGATTCGATCGAAGAATTATAGGACAGTCTCTAATCCAAGGTAGGGGTGGGGTTCTGACTATCTAATGGGTTGCATGACAGATTTTATGTGGGATTGGGTTTGTAAAATTGCCTCTGTTTGTGTTTAATTGTTGTAATTGATACTAAGATGTGGTTGCTGTCAACGAATTGGTTGTGGAAAATTACTCTATGTTGATTGGGTATAACTTTTATGTTGTTGTGATACTGTGTTGTGTTGTTGAATTTGATACCGTATTGGTTTCATAGCAGACGGAGGAAATTAGGAAGTAAACAAAGGAAACAAACACACTGTGCTGAGTGGCACAAGTGTGTGTGTCGAGTAGCACTCTTGAGGATGTGGGTGCCGAGGGGCACAGGATACATGCCGAACGGTATGGTTGTTGAGGAGGGAGTGCCGATCGGAACTATGTACATATGGGAGGGAGTTATGTCGAGAGGCACACTCCATGTTCCTTGTCTTTTTATTTTGTTTGTTGCTACATGAAGCCTTAACTTATTCCTGTTTTGTGGCCCATGTGTACTGTAGCATAGTGGCACTTAGGACTAAATTAAGTAGCAGTGTTGTTGGTATCTAGTAGAGGTATTGTGTTAGTTGCAGAGTCGGTAATAATTAATTTAGCAGAGTAGTATATTAATAACAGATGCGATAATTTAGCAGAGAATTACTGGTAGAAGTAATTAGTAGAATAAATTGGCAGAAGATTAATGTAGTAACTAATAGTAATTTATTAAGTGGATAACAGGTAGTGTATGTTGGTAATTTAGCGAAAGATTAATTAAGCGGAAATAGTCGAATTGTACGTACAAATTCGCGGAGCGTTTGTAGTATATTTTGGTTGATGCGGTGTATTGTATACTTTGCCAAAAAAAATATGAATTTCAGGTGGTATTGAATTGTTAGGCTTATGGCCAATTTTTTTTTCTTGTTGATGTTGTTGTGACGTACTAAGTTGTAGGCTTATGTCAATGTTGCGTTAATTGTTGTTGTTGAAATATCAAGTTGTGGGCCTATGGCCAAAGTTGAATTATGTTGAGTTGATGTTGAATCGTTGATTGATGTGGTAGGCTTATGGCCAGTGTTTATTTATATCGAGATGTTGTGTTGTTCTGATTGTCTCTGAATTATTTTTGATAATGTGAAGTTGCAGAGAATTTTAAATGATGATGAATTACCTCTATTTACTGGTAATAATGGTGATGCGGGCTTATGCCTTGCGATGAATGATGATTGTTGTGAGTATGTGATAGCGCATTCATTGAGTCACATACATTTGCATACTCTGTGATGGCCTGGATTGGAAAACTACGAAGAAGGCTTATGCCTTGTTGATGCCTCTATTTATTGGAAGATTTTTAAGATGGGAGTTCTGCTCCATTTTTAAGATGGGAGTTATGCTCCGTTTTTAAGTTGGGAGTTCTACTCCAATGGTACCACATGCATGTGCATTGTAATTGAGTCGCATTTGATGTTGCATCTTGATTTGTGGTGATGATATATTTGTTGTTGCTTTATGTTGTTGAGTTGTCGTGACGGGTATTATCTAAAAGCTGTGAATTATTCATTATGTTGTGTTGATGCTTTGTTGTAATAGTTGTTGTGTATAAGTTGTGAAGTGGTGATGAACTGTTTGATATCTCACCCCTTATGTTTGAATGTTGCCCTCTGTTGGTAACGTGCAGGTAATCAAGAAGAATAGTTGTTACCTTTGTCAGTTCGAGTCGGTGTCGTCGCTTTGATATGTAGCACTCGGGGGGATGAACGCTTGATGTTTAGTTGTTGATATTTATTTCAGTTGCTAAATTTTTAAGTTGGTTACGTGAAATAACTGTTGTCTTGAAGTTGTTTTAGTTGAATAAAATATGTTAAGTGAATTGAAGTTGAGTATGTAGATTCCGCTGCTTATCAATAAAAAGTTGTTTGATTTTGAATAATAAATTAGGTTGTTATCGGTTCATCCGAGTTAAGTGTTATGTATCTATTTGTATGCTGGTTAAATGAAGTTTAATTATAAGTTGAAAATGTAGCATCCTATTTATGTTGAACTCTGATTTTATTATTATTCGTCGGGTAGAAATGGGGTGTTACACTAAAGACTCAAGCTTCTAAAGACAACATGTTCTAAGGATACAGTAAGAAGATCTGAAGACTCAAGTTTCTACTAAAGCCCAGAGGCTAAAGACTCAAGTTTATAAAGACAGTGTGTTCCAAAGAAACAAAGTTAAAAGATCTTAAGACAAAGTTTCTACTGAAGTCCAGATGCTAAAAACTTAGTTTCTAAAAAGACAACCTGTTTTAAGAAGACAAATTTAAAATATCTGAAGACAAAGTTTCTACTAAAGTCCAGATGCTGAAGACATGTGTTTCAAATAACAAGGTTCTTAGAAGGATTCTTAAAGAACCAAGTGCTAAAGATTCTAAAGACGAAAGTTCTCAAGATTCTAAATACTTGAAGTTCTAAAGATCCAAGGTTCTCTACAATGGGTTCTCAATACCAAGTTTGAAAGACTCTAAAGACGCAGTTCTTAAGACTCTTAAGACTTGAAGCTCTTCTAATCCAAGGTTCTCTACAACAGATTCTCATGACCAAGTGTTGAAGACTCTGAAGACGCGGTTCTGAAGACTCTGAAGACTCTGAAGACTTGAAGTTCTGAAAACCTTATGTTATGAAACTCATGCTCGCAGAGGCCTCTGAAGTGCATAAGGGAAGAATATAATGGTAACATGGTACAATAGTATACAATACGAAAAAGCCTTATTCCACTACCTCTCTACTAGCTTGAATTGTGGAAGAAAAAAGGACGTAGAAGTACTATTTGTAATGACTCTTTTTCAAATAGCCAACGATTCTATTTTGACTGGTTATATAAGAAAAGAATTGTATGTTAAAAATGTTGTCGGTGTTGGTGTTCAATGTTAAAAATGAAAGTTGTCATTATTGGAACACAAACAAAAAGCTATCAACCATTATAACAACAACAAGAACAATTGTTATCAAAATGATTCTCCAATCATGTTGATAATGATTATAATGAAATCATTGATTCACAATGTTCTTAATCTCATATGTTTCACAAAGCTTGCTAAGTCGCAAAAGATAATGAAGATGATCATGAAAGCTCCAGTTACAAATCCATAACATAAATATTGTGCTCTAAAGTGATCATTGAAGAAAATAGAACAATGGCTGCTGTCCAGAATGTTCTAAGATGAATTAAGATGAAGAAGTTCTTCTCTTTACTACATCAAGATCAACAAAGCTTCTAGAAGCTTATGAAGAATAAGACTTCAGCAATTCGAGTGCTTTGGGTTGTTGTCCATAAAGAAGCTACTTGAGGAAAAGAAGACCACACATTGAAGCTACAATACAATGTAATATTTTTAGTGTGTATTAGGATCTTCTGATGTATGCTTAAATTTTGTTTACATCTAGCTTGTGTAGAAGTATTTTATTGTAAACAAATGTAAATCAAACAGTTATTTGATGATTCCTTGAGAGGCTCGTGTTGTACCCCAATTTTTTCCCCTACGATCCCTCATCACACTTTGTACATTTTGCATATAGCATTGGTCTCATGGTTATAAGATCGAAGTGCCTTGGCATTAGGGTTTCTCTCTATGAATGGAGGTTGTCGTCTTGGTCAAAATTGATTCAACTGGTGCTTTCATTATTCTTGGTATGAGATTAGGGTTTTGGATCTCAAGCAATATAGATGTCTTCATAAGCGGGATTCCTCGAGATATAAGGTTGTCTTCATCATAATTTCTTCGGGAAGAGTGCTTCAGAGTTTACCGCGTGTTTAAAATTTCATCTTGTATTCATTAAGAATATTCTGAAGTCGGAGTTTTGTTTATCTCAATATCTTAAGCCTTCTTCATTAGTGTACACTCAGAGCAAGATCATTTAGGGTTCTTCCTATCTTATTCAGAGCTTGGTATTAGATCCTCAACAGAAGTTCATCGTGCTAGATTTTCTCCTTAAGGCTACAAGGGTCACCATCTATTTCATGTAGATCCTCCCTTTTGTTACTTTCTCTGTGATTCATTTCTCCTCAAGAAGTCTAGAAGATTAAACAATGTTTCTCTTCTTATGGTGAGACTTGTCGAATGATTAAGTGTGGCTCTGGATTTTCAGCTGATATTTTGTTGATTAAAGAGCAACTATATGGCGTGGTAGGAGTTTGGGAGATTCGTTGTAATCAATCCCCTGTTATCTCTTCAATTTCTTGTTTGTTTTCCAGTTGACTTGAATTTAAAGAGTAAAGTAGAGAATGGATTCATTATTGTGAAATGTTTCTTTCAAGATCGATTCAATGGAATTCATGATTATGGTTTGTGTTTAATTCGAGGTCGTTAATTCAAACGCATTTTGATAATTGATTCAAAAGTGTTTAGGCTCGCTCATGGGAGTTATTTGGAACTCAAGACTCATCAATCAAGTACAAGAATCTCAAACTCTAAATGATTCAGGTGTTCATGTTTCTTGGAATTTAAGATCTTATCCAAAGTCAAACTTCTACCAAAATTATTCAAGATCTATTTATACTTATAGAGGTAATTCAAGGTTGTCAAGAGTTCATATTCATATTCACAAGTTGACATTTGATCAAGAGTTTGTAATATTCGTATCATGTTCATCAAGAATCACGCAATTTAAAATTCAAGTTTACCATTTAAAGTGTATATCAAGTATTCAATTCATTACATATGAGTTCCCTTTACAACATTATTCATTACCAAAATACGTGATAAAATTACAAGGCTTTTACATCACAAATACCAAAACCCTAAGAATCTAAAATCTATGTCATTCTTCATCTTTTTCATGTAATTGGATCTGCAGCTTTTTTCGAGCCAATCTTCCAACCAAGCCCATGCTCTGCACGAAGGCAAACAAGATGAGTAAACATGCCCTGCAAAAGAATCATCCATGCTGCAACCTTTTCAAGCCATGTGCAGACCTGCATAGTGTGAAATCAGTGCAGGAAATTCAAAAAAATAACAGTATAAGAATTAAACTCAAAAGAAAATTAAAGGACTACCATTTTTTTTCTCTAAGACTGTCCTAGCTCTGCATCTGAGTTCTTGCAATCTCGCAATCCTCTTCTTTTTCAATCCCGTTGTAGGATTCATTGTTGTTCACCGCGTTCTATAAGAGCTGAATTACGCTCAATCTGTTTGTGATGTTGGCGATGCACTAAAGTTTTAGGTCGAATTTGATGCATTAATTGGAAGCAAGACCTCCACTCCAACATGAAATAGATGGGCTGCATTCAAAAAAAAATCAGGGAGAGTGAAACTCAAAAATGAATCAGAAATAATTATAACCAGTTTAACTGATTTTTCAACTGAATCCCAGCTTCCAAAAAAATTTCTAACTGTTTCTAAACATAACTTACAACACCCTAACAAAATTTCAGCTCTCTAACCTCTAACAACTCATAACACAACCCAATCACCTGAACAAAATTCCCAAACAATCTCTTACTATCTCCAACTGCATAACGAAATTCTAACAAACTTCTAGAAGACATCCAAAAACAGATTTCATAACAGAAAATTCCAACGGCAAAAAAATCCAAAAAGATAACAGAAAAGAGAAGGAGGGATAGAGCTAGCAGGGTTCATAACTGACAAGGGACTCAACTCTAACAAACTTCAATAGAATATAAGAGAAAATTCAGAGCAATTGAAAAGGGGGATTCACGAAGGAAGACTTACCAAAAGATCTCGATTCTCCCTCTCAATCTCCATCACCAAATTCTTCACTCTCCCTATGAATTCTATATTCATATCTCTTCTTCCTCCTTGAACTTCTATGACCTTCATCTTGTTCTTCAATTACCCTGAAGCTTCTGCAACATCACCAAGATCTTCATACACCTCTCAACACTACTGCAACCTGTGCTCCATAATCATCTTCAATCGCATACTCTCTCTGGAAATCGTATAGCAACACACCTTCATCACTACGCTTCAACCTGCTTCAATATTTGCCTTCTTCATCGCCTTCTGCATAACCTCCATAATCATGTATCTATCAGCAACCATCATCTTCAAGCATCATCCTCTCCAATCTTCAAAGTATCCAATCAAAAACCTACAACATTCAATATTAATCTGCACTGCATCAACAACTTCTTCAATCTGCAATAATGAATACACTGAGATTTTAGAGAAGTAGATAGAAGAGTTGCATACGGATAAACATGATAAGGAAGAAGCAGAATCAAGCAAAGAGTGAATAAAGACTCACCAGATTCAAGCTCCGATACAAAGACTCAAAATAAAAATTAAGACGATGAACAGAAGCACGAAATCAAACGTATCATAGTTGACTTATTCGGATCTCTTGCCATGTTTATCTTCTCGAAGAAGCGTTAGATGATTCTCCGGCAGGTAAACTTTGAAGCTTTGATTATCACATAATATGTTGTTTCTTTGTGCTATCGATCAATATCTGTGAGGCGAGTGAGGTTGAAAAGGAGGTATGAAGGTGGAACTATGCATGAAGATAAGATCAAAGTAGACAGATTTCCTTGGAGATGAATCGGGAACACTCGCGGTGGCATAGAATGATGAGAGAGGCGGAAATCTTCGACGAAGAGGTAAGGGGTCGGATCGCGCCGTTATGTTTTGCAGCGTGTTGGCTTCTGAAGTTCAATAGTCACCCCAAAGCTCAACCCTAATCCTCTCTTTTTTTTGTGTTATTTTCTTTATAAAAAAATCTGAGATATAGAAAATCTAGATGTATGGGTCTCAATATAGGTGGACTGGACCGAAACCATCTCCCTTTAAAGCCCAAGGTATCGTTGTTTTTTAAACCTGTTGGGTTATGACAAAAAAGGCTTATTGAACTATGCAGCTCGGGCTTAGCATCTGCTATACCGAACCCTGGGATCCTGGTTCACCCTCCTTGACTCTTTTTCATTAGATTTTAGTCAATTTCTTTTTTTTTATAATTTTTGTTAATAAAAAATATTGATGTAATAAAAACATTAATAAAAAATGTTAGATTTTACGAGATATTTTGGGAATCAAATCATGATTATCCGATTATGTGAGATTTGTGACTTACTTTTTCTTGTAGAGATTTGAGTCTTATGCAGGATATGCGGATATGCTTGAGTTTTCGATTGCGATTTATTTTCGCATCGATGATGCTTCGACACTTATTTTGAGCGTTTGATTTTTGACTCTTTTCTTGGATTGGTGAAGCTTTCGTGAAGATCGTTGTGTTTCTTTATTTTGATACGCTTCGTTACAGATTGATATTCGTTTGAGGCAACATACTTTCTCTGTTAGCTCGCACGAAGTATCTCAGATTTATTTACCTTGGTTTCACTTTTTGCGAACGTCATTGTTCGTTTGTTATTATAATGCTTCCAAGTTATATTTCCGCATTTATCGCTTTTCTAGATATCATGAAAAGCAGAAAAATAAAGAGCGTGCGCTCGAAGTCGCTGTTTAAAGACCTGTAGCAGGCATTCCACACTTTATTTCTATTATGTGTTGTGCTTGTGTTTGCTTCCTTTCTTGTTGATCGATGAGTCACTCAATTTAGAAATTGAGATCATGACTTCGCTCTCAGTGCATGCTCCCTATAGGATTTTATCGCTTTCCTTTATTTCTTGTTGACCAGTGAGTCACTCAATTTAGAAATTGAGATCACGACTTCGCTCTCAGTGCATGTTCCCTATAGGATAGTTTGTTAGACTTTCTTTGGCATGCTAACTTAGATAGGATCCCTCATTGTATGATAACATTAGGTTAGAGATAGGTTAGTCTCCCTTAGGTGTTTTCTTCCCGTTTTTGCATAATTGCATTTAAAACTAAAACTTCTTTTTCTTGGCAAATATATAAGAAATGCTAATCATACAAAAATTATTTTCATGATAAAAAATACCAACCAATCCATTTCTTTTTTCCATTCGGCTTTTCTCTTCTAAGAGCATGTTAGCTCTTTTCCACTACAGGTCATAAAAAAAATACAACATTGTTCATTCTATGGTCGAGCAGCGGTGGAATGATTGAATGCAACATTGTTCATTTAAAAAATACAAACAAACAAAATATATGAGCCGAACTACGGTAGCTCTGATTCCTCAAAAGGGATACGTAGGCATTGGGGTAGGGCCCAAGCGAGTAACAACTTTATTTCCCCTACATTCTTTCTCTTTTCTTTGCATGCATTCCCTCTCAGTTTATAACCCTTAAACATTAGATTTAACATGCCCTTTGATTAGAATGACGAGAGTGGATCCTGTAGAGTATTATGGATGTGTGGGTGCTAATACCTTCCCCTCGCGTAATCGAATCCCTTACCCAATCTCTCGGTCGCAAGACCTTGATTTCCCCTTTAGGTTTTTCTTTGATGAATTTCATTTCCCTTTTATATGGGATAAATAAATACTCGGTGGCGACTTCATTGATTTTGCCGTTATAGCTCGGTTGAGTCAGGATTCTCAAGAAGACTTTGGCTGCGGTCACGGTAGATGAGATCCTGATAGTGGATTCTATTGGGTCAATGGTAGTCATATCTCAAAGAGGACCAAGTGAAGGTCAGACTCTTGTGAGATCCATGATGGATATCATTGCAAGGAAATCCTGATAAGAGATTATGAAGAATCAAATTCTGTTGGGTCAATGAATGTTATATCCAGTTTGGATCCCTGAACACGTCATTGGTTGTTAGTCATTTTCGGGTAGCTTGTGCATGATTTTCCTTAAGGGAATGGGTAGGTTTGTATCCTTAAGAAGTCTAGGACTTGTGTGTATTAGTGGTTGTTAGTCACTTGCGGGTAGCTTGTGTAAATTGTAATCATATTGGTTATAGTGGATTAAGTCTTTGAGTTCAAGGCGAAATCACCTTGGTAGGGTGGACTGGACTAGATTGGGGGTTTCTCAAGTGAACCAGGATATATCACGTGTTCTTTAATTTTGCTTAGGCTTTAGAGTTTATGTTTTCTTAACTTAATTAGAAGCATTACTTAGAAGTAACACTCAGAAGCATTGTTCAATGAATAATGCTTAAAAGAGAAAGTTATTAAAGAAAGGAAAACCCAATTCAAACCCCCCTTTCTTGCGTTTTCTTCACATATTCACATGGTATACCATCGAGTATTGTTTCAGATAGAGATCCGAGGTTCACTTCTAGGTTCTGGAAGAGTTTGTAAGAAGCATTGGGTACTAAGTCGAGGTTAGAGCAGGGCGGTGCTTGGGATAATTACTCACCACTGATTGAGTTCACATACAATAACAACTACCATTCTAGTTTGAGAATGTCACCGCTTAAGGCTTTGTATGGTAAGAGGTGTAGAACTCCTATATATTGGTATGATTATGAAGAGAGTGTTGTTCTCAGACCAAAGATTATGCAACTGATGATCGAAAAAGTTAGGTTGATCCAAGAGAAGATGAAGGCATCTCATAGTAGGTAGAAGAGTTACCACGACAAACGAAGGAAGGAACTTGATTTTTGAGAGGGTTATCATGTTATCTTGAGAGTCACTCATGTGATCGATGTTGGTCGTGCTATGAAGTCTAAGAAGCTTACTCATCTCTTCATTGGATTGTATCAGATTAATCAGAGGGTTAGAGTTGTTGCCTACCGTGTGGCTCTACCCCTATCTCTTTCAAAGATGCATGATGTTTTCCATGTGTTGTAGCTTCAGAAATATATTCACGATCCGTCTCACGTAATCCAAATGAACGATGTACAAGTTCGAGATAATCTAACTGTTGAGGCATCACCTATTAGGATTTAGGATCTAGAAGTGAAGCAACTATGGAGTAAAGAGATTGTTCTAGTGAAGGTTGTTTGGGGAGGACCTACTGGAGGTAGTATGACTTGGGAGCTGGAGAGCCGAATGAAGGAATCCTATATGGAGTTATTTCATTCAGGTAATTTCGAGGACAAAAATCCTCTAAGTGGGGGGGGGGGGGGGGGGGGGGGGGGGGGTTGAGTTGTAACACCCCGACTTTAGATTACTATTTTATTTAAATTATTAGGATAATTATATTGGGTGTTGTTTGATTATTTGATGTTATTCGGTGTTTTGGGGGAGTTTAAGGGCATTTTGGTAGTTTACTAATTACTGATATATTTGAGTTTGAGAGTGAAAAAGTTACAATCGAACTAATTTAAATTATTATCAACAATTATCTTTTTTTGATTATTTACTAATTATTAGGATAATTGGAATTTTATAATAATAATAATATAAGTTTTATTTATTGTATTTAATTAAAATAATTATTTAAGTATAATTAGGTGTAATAGTGATTTAAGAATATTATTGAATTTAAATAATTATTTAATTGGTATTATTTTATTAATAATAAAGGGAAACATAAAATAACGTTAGAAATTTGTAACGTTAGTATTGGGTGTGTGTGAGCAAGTATGGGGTGAAAGGGTCAATTGAGATATTAGATTGATATAAGTAGCTAACGTGAAAAGGAGAGTTGCGTCAGAAAAAAGATAGTTTGACAAAGCGGCTGCTGAGAACAGTATTTGAGAAGAAATTGGTAAACGGTTGAGATAGATAGCTGGGAGTGGGGAATAATCGATCGTAAATTTGATCAAAGGATTAGACACACGAGGTAAGGGGGATTACTATTCTTTTGGGTGAATATTTTGGAAACTAGGATGGGGAGGGATCCTTACCCTCCAATCAGCGCCCTTTAATGGAAATTTGATGCTTTTTGAATATGTATTGATATAATGATTGATGTATGACGATCGATGTAATGATATATGGTTGTGGTGTACTATTGTAGTGACCGGAGAGGATTTGGGATAATCCCCTAGGGTATCGTAAAATATG